GAAGTGAGCTTAAAAAGTTTGAATAATGTGTACCAAATCAGATCCAAGCGATAAGATCTTACTGATGCACAGCATAATGGGACTACTACCATTCACAGTAGCTTTTCATATTTAATGAGCAAGTAAAATAATGTTTAAAGACTCCAAACAAAAAATGTCACATAACAGGAAATGTTGGTTCCTTTGAACAGTACACATTGAATACATGTATTAAAATATTAAACTTAGCCCATAAGTACATATAATTTTTAATTTTTTTAAAAAGAATATACTTCCTAGTTTCAAAACATCTTACTCAACAGTAACTGAAATAATGTGATACTGACATACAGACAGACATATAGATCAATGGAACAGAATAAAGAGCCCAGAAATAAACTCTTTATTATATATGGCCAAATGATCTTTTTCAAAGGTATCAATATTACACAGTGAGAAAAGGATAGCAAAATGATGATAGCAAAAATAGTATATGTTTCCAGTATTGTACTACTTATTTTTGTCACACTTGCCCTTAATCTGTGTATTGAGTGAATAATAGTAAGACAACCTGAATATTTGTTTCAAGGAACAGCAAGGGCAATCATAACCATGGTGTAATGGAATATAAGAAGACTTATGAATTTGAATATTTGATACAACAATTACTGTCTCTTTAATGAATGTTAAATACTAGGAATAGTCATAAATATCTGTATTTTTTAAAGATTTGTTTTCATTGGAGAGTCAGATTTACAGGAGAGACGGAGAACTCCTGTCTCCTGTCTCTGGCAGAGAACTCTGTTGCACTCCTCCAATGGCCACAATGGCCAGAGCTGAGCTGATCCAAAGCCAGGAGCTAACGCTTCTTCTCCCACGTGGATATGGGTTCCCAAGGCTTTGGGCAATACTCTGCTACTTTCCCCAGGCCATGAGCAGGGAACTGGATGGGAACTGGAGCACCCAGTATACAAACCAGGATTCTTACGGGATCCCATTGCATTTGAAGGAGCATTAGCCAGTTGAGCCATTGCACCAGGCTTGTAAATTTTTAAAGTATGTTACTTTCAAACAGATGACAAGAATCAGTAATTATAGTGTTTTGTGTAGGAGAAAGCAGAGATTGCAATGGAAGTAGAAATGAAGTTCATACTGTCACACATATATATAGAGGGTAGGCATGGCCCCTGAGCTATCTCCTGCAAGAGGAAATAGATAGTTAGCATGGTAGAAAATGAAGGGGAAATGGAACATTTCTAGGCCCTTCTTTGAATAGGAGGTTCAAAAGTATTTAATACGAATTAACATGAGATGATGAAATGTTTGGGGAGCCCTCAAGTAAGAGAAATAGGAAAAGTTATCTGGGTAAGTATAATGTAAGATGAAGTAGAAAGACTGGGGTAATCATGAAATAAGCTGAAGAATTTAATCATTATCCTGTGGATATATAGGGAGCCTTAAAACATTTCCAGGATGAAAAAATATTTCCATTCTGTGAGACAGTTTGGTAATCATCAGACTCTTTACAAAATACATTTTATTTATCAAACGTCTTCCTTTTCTAAGAAATAGCATGTGCCCTATGAGGCAGTCATTCAAGCAGAACAAGTTGAGCTACAACTTGGGGTGCTGGTATCCAATGTCATAATGCCTAGGTTGGAGTTCTACCTCCACTTCTAAAGCCGCTTAGTGCTAATATACCCAAAATGCAGCAAATGATGGTCTGGGTATTTGGTTTCAAACCTCTTATGTGAAAGACCCAGGTGGAGTTCCTGGCTCTTAGCCTGCTGCAAGTGTTTGAACAAGTGGAGGGAAGATCTTTGTTTCCCTTTCTTTGTCTCTGTGCCTTTCAAATAAATGTTTTAAAGTATACAAAACTTGTTTTAAAATGTATGTAATATTTTTCAAATAGTCTACCAGGACACATACAAGTCTTTACATAGGCAATCTTGACTGGAATATTTTTATTCAAATGGTAACGCAACAATAGCAACAAAAATCATTATCTGACTAGTAGAGCTAAAATAATCTACAAGATTGTTTTTCTTGATATTCAACATAAAATAGTGAAAGAACTGTACAAAATAATTTCCTACTGAATCTGTCTTTATCCATCTAAAACACATTCTTCAATTCTACTACAGTTTCTCTCATTTCCTCTTATGTACACAGGATATAGACCAAGATCTCCAGGGATATCTGAAACCACAACTAGTACTAAATCCAGCATGCATCATGCTTTTTCCAATATCTGCAGAAATATAAAGTCTTTTTCATCATAACTAATCACTTAGCATGCACTGTAGATCTAACTTTTGCAATTTGAGATGCAACAGAAAATTAGCCATTTCCTTTTCCATAACTTAATGGACAGAGGATGTATTCTCACCTTAACTCTTAGCAACTTAGGCATATGATGTCTTTTCTTTATTGAGACTTTTTCACTTAAAGGAAGCAATTTAAGACTTCTCTGTGACATCCTTGGAGTTGCCAGCATCACTAGATGCACATTTTGTGGCCTTTTCTATGTAACAAGGAATACTAAATACAAGCACTGCCATAGACAAGTGATCCAACAATGGAGAAGGTTACTAAGTGACTGATGGACTGGCAGATATGCAGCATAGATAATACTGAACAAAGTATAAGTGCCACCCAGAGTGGGATAGAGAACATGATGCCAAGTTTCATCACTCCATTCAGAACTATATGTCATTTAAAATTTTTTCTGGAGTTTTCCTTGCAGTATTTTTGGGCTGCAGTTGACCATGGATAACTGAAAGCACAAATACGGATTATGGATAAGGGAAACCTACTGGATGTAGACTTCAAACTTGAATAAGTGTTTGAAGTCATGACAAATGGTTAGCACAGAAAAGATGATTCTTTAATACCTAATAAATGCAAATATTCTTAAATGAAACCCTAAAATGGGTTTTTAGCCTTCCCTCATTCCTATATAAGTCCTTTCAATTCATATTTGAAAAGTGTCCAGTGTAACTTTTGGTGCCAGAGAAACAAAAGAAGGAATATCATCTTGTTTTATGTTTTATTACATTATAACCAGATACTTTAAAAATGTTTTGTTGGTTTAAAACATCACAGTACAATGATTTTTTAAATTATATATAATAATGATAGAGTTCAGGACATACTAGCCCAAAATAAGCCTTGGCATTACCTAACTTTGTCCAGCGATACTTCCCCCAGCTATACATACTTAATAAAAATAAATATCTACCTGCTACGTTGGTATTGTATTTCTAAAGTCTCTCATGTCACATCAAATTTATATTACTCAGACCAGAGATGGTCTTCCCAAAAAACTATTCATCTGGACAATAAGATGCTGGACTCTATACATGGTACATGCTTGCAATGAAGGAATCATGACTGGATTTGAACTGTAATACTGCAACAAGGTGAAGGAATCCACCATAGGGGAAGGGCATGGGGAGGGGTTGAGGGAATCCCAGAGCCTATGAAACCGTCATAAAATGAAATAAAAAATTTTTAAAAATCCAATGAAGGCAATGCATTGTGACATAGCAGGTTAACATCGCTGCCTGCAATGCCAATGTGGTGCATAGAGGTAGTGTGAGTCCCAGATTTCCCACTTCCAATCCGGCTTCCTGCTAAAGCGCCTGGGAAAGCAGCAGAAGATGACACAAATGCTTGGGTCACTGCTGCCCACACAGAAGATACTGATTAAATGCTGACTCCTGGTGTTGCCATGGTCTTGCTCTGGCTATTGTGGCTATTTAAGGAGTGAGTTAGCAAATGCAAGAACTCTTTCTGTCTGTCTCTTTCTTGCTCTAATTCTGCCTTTCAAAATAAATAAACAAAAACTTTTTAAAAAATTATATTAAATATGTCTGTGTGCTACTTATTTTTTAATTTTTATTTTTTATCTCAATCATAAACCTATTGATGTGATAAAAAGGTTATTTCCCATCCCCTATTAGTATGGACAATGTAGTTTCGGTTTTCAATTTGGTATTCTCTAAGTATGAAACGCATACACACACATATATATACGTGCATAGCTATATAAATGTTTATGCAAAAATGTAGGAATTTATTGATGTGGTTACTATTTATATTACATAAGTAACATTCCAAAGAGGTAGAAATACAATGGTCAGTGACTGTCTTGGATTATACATCATTTTATGTTTCTTAGTTTTGGTTAAGATTTTCAAAAATAAGCATTTTCAAATCTAATTTAACAAGCCAGTATTTTAAAATAAATACGGCTCTGTGGCAAAAAATGAAAAAGTGTTCCAAATATACACAGATACCAATTGTTAAATAATTCATGCTGTAATCAAAGTGTGAACGCAGGGATGATGACTAGTTTGAGATATGTAGTTAATTTTAAGTTTTCTTTATTTGAAAAATAAGTTATAGAGAAAGGAGAGACAGAGTGGGAGATATCTTCATATACTGATTCGCAAAAGAGCTGCAAAGCCAAGGTTGGACCAGGCTGAAGCCAAGAATTTGGAATTCCATCCAGACCTCCCACATGGGTAGCAGGAGCCCAACACTTGGAACATGTTTCTCAGCCTTTCCAGGTACATTTGCAGGGATCCCGATTGTAAGCAGAGTAGCCATGACTTCAACCAGCCCTCTGTTATAGGACGCCAATATGGCAGGCAGCAGCTTGGCCCCAAATTATCACAAATAAATAGTAATGTGCTATTTTTTTTTAGTAGTGAAACAATATTAAACCAAACTTAAATGTTTGCTCTGAAACTTAGGATGCTGTGACAGGGTGCTTCTGTCATCTCATCTTCCAAACTTAAGAAATAGCCTCAAATGGAAATCTATCAGCAAAAATACCATTCACTTTGTATCAGTGCAACCCACAGAGAATTTGAGCTGTGGAGAAGTTTAGTATCCAGACATTTCTTCAGATCTACCTCTTGAAATATCTGATCACTTTTAATGTTTCAACTGATGCTGTATAAGGCAGAGATGAGTCCACAGTTAAATGAAGTCATACAGCCATGAAGATGACATAACAATTGTTGCCAGCTCTTAGGGAAACAGCCAGGCAGGGAAAGCTAAGTCCTCAAGTGAAGGTGCAGAGAGCAGGTAACTACCTTGAGTTATTCTATTCAATCCAAAGGCTTGATGTCCATAAACTTCCCAGGAAGGTAGTGATAAAGACTACAACCCAGAACTCGTCTCTCAAACTACCAAGAACTTGGCAGGTGAGAATACAAGGCCCAACTCTTTCAGATACTTCAACAGAAAAGATCTGCAGTTCAGCCATCTCGAATCTAAAGGGGAGTGGAGGTGGGGGGTCTGCTCTGTCAGCCACCAGAAAATAGAATCAAAATCAGGTGAACCTGACAACACAGAAACAGAAAATACACCATCTTTTTGGAAAACCTTTTTTTTTTTAAAAAAAAAAAAAAACTAACAAAAACAAAAACTGTTGTGTCCCTGGTTGAGGCTCGTCAGTGGAATTTTCTCAAGTATATATGTGGTTTCACGAAGGCTGTGAATTTAAAACTTTTTGGACGTTACCCAGATGTTCCAAATACTAATCCTTGCAAGATTTCCCTTTAAGGATGTTCTGTAGAGAATTTGTTAGTCATAATTTTAAGTAAAAATTGACAAGGAGTGCTTTTTTAGTCCGAGGAGTCAGCTGTGTGCACGTCACAAGACTAGGAGGAAATACAGGACACTCCTATTTTTTCCCATAATGCTGGAAAAGATTTCTAAAATGTTTTCTTTGAGCTCTGTATGTGCTACTTTGACTTCTTTCATATTTTCTAAGGACAAGAGATTCTTATGAACTTTCCAGTGACTACTTAAAAGAAAACTTCTGCTTGGTAAGTAAGTGGATGCATTGAAGCCTCCTACCCAGTGGAGCCAGTAGTTATTCAATTTTATATGCTGTAGTCTTTGTATTTCTCATTGCAATGGCATGTGTGGAGGCAGCATAGAAACCTGACAGCTCTTTGTAATTGCTTCCACTGTCTTGTAATCATTTAAATATACAGAACATAGCTTCATATTGAAAAAGGAAGGGGGAAAAGAAAGGATTCAGGGATCTTATTTTACTTAATTTATTTGAATGAATAAGATTATCAATGAGAAAATCTTATTATTGGATTTATATTTCTAGGGAGGTTTTTGCATCCATTTTTAGCTTTTCTGTAAAAAGAGTAAATGAGATTCCTTCTATTTTGAGAAAAAAAAATTGCTTGCTTTCCAGAAATGGGCATTTGATAATTTATATTATCAGGTTTCCTATGATTGAGTTAAAATAACTGTGTGTCCAACACACACAGACACATAGTAGCCTACCTCAATTTCAACTGCTTATTGAAATTGAAATGTGTGCCCCATATTGTTAATACCACTTTGTTGCTCTTTTAGTCATATCCTCTTTAATATCTGTCATTTATTTGAAAACCAAATGCAGCTCCTCAGCTGTCACTTTGATCTTTATAAATGCAGGAACTAAAAAGAATCATTAATAAAATGTGCATTGCTAATATGTAAAATATAAGAAAAATCTTTGATTCATTCTGGCTGTATTTCACATCCACAATACCGACATGTACAGTTAGCAGTTTTAAAAGGAAAGTAGTATATGAGTTAAAATTGAATGTAAATATTGCAAATATAGGCATCATACAAGATACTATTTTCATATGACTTACCATACATGTCTAACTATTTAATCCAAATTGCTTGATGGGGAAGGTAAATTCTCATATCTGTTTTCTACACTTGTTCTGTTTATTTTCACATCATTACAAGTTTTAAGTTCTGGAACTGCTCTACCTAAACAAGAATAGCAGAATAATAGCAGAATGCAACATTTAAGTTTATCTCTTATTTCATTATACTTGCCAACAATATGTTAATAGCTAGGTTAATATTTGGTGCCTCATAAGCAGGCCTAGAAATTTTTTTACTGTCATGTTGAAAATAAATGTTTATCTAGAACATTTTAGGAAGCTTTGATTTGCTTATTGTTTTTGCGGTTATTTTAGATCTAAAAACACAATTTTTTTAGTGTTCCAAGTATGTGAGTCCACAAGGGAAGTACTAATCAGATGTTAGAAAATTACATTCCCACGTTTTTATAATTGCGGTTTTCCTCTTTGTTTGGCACCATTATTCTTGGCTATGATTTGGTGTTCTAGAATGAACTTTGAAGAGGATGAAGAGGTGGAAAACTTATTCCTGTCAAAATACCTCAAACTCCTGCAAAATGATCAAATTGAACATTTATTTATCTTTTTATCTGACTGTGTTGAGATGATACATCCCCTTAAGAATATCATAAGACCCATAGTTGATCCTTAGGAGAAAAAAAAATGATGAAAGGTGAAAAAATGCAGGGAGGACATCACAGACAAATCAGTATTTTAAAAATTAACATAGATTTTCTCCTGGGTACCTTCTAAATGCCATCTCTCCAGCCCCAACTGAGTACCTCTACTTGGCTACTGCACAACGTAAACTCATCATTTCTCTTTCCTGCTCCCCAGTCTGCTTCCTCCACATAGGATCTCACACAGAAGTGACACTGTGATCCCATCCGTCATTCAAGCTAGAAACCAGCAAGAAATCAGCTCCTTCGCTTCTGTCAATTTGTGTATGTAAAGAACATCCAAGTTTGGTCAATGCTACCTTTGAAATTCACCTATCTCCCGCATCATTACCATTACCTATTTTTCACTGTCATCATCTTTCACTTGACTAATAGTAAGTAATCCTTTTGCATGGCTCCTTGGAACTAGAATTGCTTTCTTCCATTCTGTATCCAAACAAAAGCTAGAATGATTGCATTAAAGCAGCCAATCTAAAATCATATGTAACAGCCAAGACTTGGCCAATTCCTTACTTAAAATTTTATTTGAATCTCCATTTGCCTTCAAATAATGTACAGATTCCTACTTAGAAATTCTTCCTCAGAGAAGGAATAATGTAGAGCAGATAATGGATGACAAATCTCCTCACACTTCAAAGTGATTAAAACCACCTCCAGGTTTTTGTTAAAATGTCTGTTCTGGTTCTGAAACTGTTTTGGTGCAGTTCTAGCAAGCTTCCAGGAAATGCTGATGCTACTGACCTATGGGATTTGAAATTGTTTTCTCATGCTAGAGCTAAAACTCCAACCCCAGCTTTACCTGCTCTACCACAAGGTCTGTTCCCAGATATCATTTTATGAAAGACGCTGAAAACTATCATTTTATGTATCTGGCACTTTAATGGCAGTTCTCTGAGCCAAACTTGACCTTCTTGTTTTAACCAGGATAATCAGTCTGTGAAAAATTCAGACATAAGGTCAAGATAGGAGCCATTCAAACCTGTAGAAACTATTTGCTAGTTCAAATAAAAATGCCGGAGTGTTTAAAAAACCAGAAGTTCTAAATTCACTGAACAAGCCAAGCAAGAAAGTCTTTGCCACAGTGTATGTAGTGTGAAGTTGAAACTGCAGGCTTTGAAGTCTGGTGCATGCTGACCCCGGGAGAACTTGGACAAGTTTTGTTTTTTTTTTTCCCATTACCTTAAAGGCTGAAAGAGAAAAGCCTATAAAATGTGTATCAGATTCATAGTAATGCTACACATTTTAATTTTTATTTTATTTATTCCCAAATTTCATCTGTTAGAATTTTGAGATTATTGGGTCTGAACCTTATCTCATTTGATTTCTAGAAATGCTTTGATGTATTCCTCTGCGTAACCGATTTTTTCCAGAGCAATGTTCACTAAATGGTGCAAATATTAATTTTCAGCAGATCATTTTGATATATCAGATTGTGCATTCACACTATGTAAGAATATACTTCTTGCTATCACTGAAAATATGAGTTGCTTAGGTTGTTGTCCAGTTGATTCTAATCTTTTCAATGATCTTTTAAAATTGTTCAAATACAACTCAAGTAACATGTTATAGTCATGTCTCTTCAAACATTTATAAAAGAGTGTAAGCTCACTACCAAGGTATCAAACTATCTTTTTTTTTTTTTTCTGACAGAGGAAAAAAAAACACATAAACATGGTAGCCACATGCATATATTAACTCATACATTCAGCAACCAGATGAAGCCAATATATGTTTACTGGAAAAGGCTCAGCATGTTCACTTTTCCTTATGCCATTGTGCTAATGATCAACAAAAGGACACTTATGTGTGCAAATAGTTTTCCATACATTTTGACCAAATTCATCTTAGTATAAAACTAAAAACATTTCCAAGAATTTTCCTTCACATAGAAATTCATACTTCTTTGGCAGTTTCTCAAATGTAATATGCGTTTGGAAAAACAAAATCAGATACCAAGCTGTCATGCTGTCTGAATAAAGGTTTCATTTTAAAAGTGATTTCCATTTTTGTAATTACACTCCATTTATTCATTTGTTCCCTGCATTTCTTTGTAATTATATGATCAGAGAAGATTCTAAACTTGGGTTGATAATTTTCCAAATTGAAAGATTGTACTCTAATTTTAATATTTTCCTTATTCCTATTAAACTGATATATTAGAATGTACAATTTTGAAGATACTGAAAATTAAAACCTTTTTGAGATACAGAAACTTAGAGGGAAAAGAGTGAGAGAGATCCATCTTTGTTCTGGTGTTTTATTCCCTGTATGGCTACAATAACCAAGGTTTGGCCAGGCCAAATTGAGGAGCCAAGAGCTTTGTCTGTCTCCTGTGTGAGTGACCTGGACCCAAACACATGGGGCATCTTCCTTTGCTTTCTCCATGCATGTATCACGGAGCTAGAATGGAAGTGAAGAAACTGGGACACAAACCAGCTTCTATATGGAACTGTATGAGGTAGCAGTTTCCCTCTCCATGACACAATGCTAGACCCAAAACTCAGTAACTTCAGTCATGAGAATCAACAGGTAAATACAGTTTCTTCTAAATTATTTCCTTTAAAATATATATATACACAGGAGTTGTCACCATGTTGTCATTTGAGATGGCATGTGACCATCTTTGGAGTGAATCAGTAAATGGGAAGTATCTCTGTCTGTCTCTCTATAGCTTTGACTTTCAAATATATAAATAAATCAGTTTTTAAAAAGTTTTCTATAGTTGAAATCACAGCGATTATTATATATCCTGCTTTTTCTCATCTAAACTAATATAAATATGTTGCCACTCCAGTAATTATTTTTTAAAAACATCATGTTAACAATATTTATACTGTTCATTTAAAAGTATTTAGTAAATACTCATATAATCTTTTAAATAATAACCTATAATAACCTTGCTTTTTGAAAAGCACAGTTCTTTCCATATTCTAATTAAACTTAAGCATACTTTATTAAGTGCCTAGAAAAATTCATTTAAAAGTACAAACTTTGAACCTGTAGATCAGGGGTTAGCATGTGTTTTCTGTAAAGAGCCAGATAGCAAGTATGTCAGACTTTGAACTACTCCACTCTGCTCTTGCAACCAGCAAGCAGTCACAGGCAGTCTGACAATGAGGAAATATAATAGTGTTTTAGTAAACTCTGCGTGCTGGTAAATTTGAGTTTCGTGTATCAAAAATATAAACTATTGGCATTTTTTCCATTATTCAAAAATGTAGAAGCTACGCATAGATCTCAGACCACAAAAAAGGAGGTAGAGTCTAGATTTTGACCTTATGCTACAAACAGTCGCAGTTCCTATAGCCTGATTGTGAGAACTCCACCATCTGAAGTTGGACAAACTTCTGTGAACCCATGTACGTGAAATATTTCTAGGAAGAGATAAATAACTTGTTATTTATTCTACAGCAATTGGTAAACTAAAAAAAAAAAATTCATACTGCACCAGATAGTACACATGAAAGCAGTAAGCCACAGTTCCTTATTAAATACATCATTATTTCTCTTTTGATTAAAAAAAATGAATAATAGAATTGACTGACATTAGCCTTATTCCATGTAGAAGCTGGTAACCGAAATTATAAAACCTAAAAAAGTGCAAACTAAAGAGAAAGTACGTAAGAAGTTAAATTTTCAAAACTACTTAAAATGGAAATGAACTGTCATTCAAATCAAGGCTATTTTATTTATTGCTTTATTTTGCTTTTACTGATACAAGAGTTTACAGATAATGCTGCTCGTTATTTGTAATGCTATTCACCTGTTTTGCAAAGGACAATAGAATAATCATGCTTAAATTGATATATACACACACATAATTTTCTTTTTCTCTTCCTCTCTTTCCATCACATACACATAAAATACAACAAATGGATTTGAAGATAACAACCTTTATTATAATGTATGTGTACATATTCAAAACTTCTACTGAGCCATGTACTTCTCTTTTAAGACTTCTGAAGTAATTGAGAGCTAGATACCTGTATCATATATTGATCAATTATTATCAATTTATCATTGCTAAGTCAGGAATGGAAAAGAAAATTTGCATAGAGACCAAGCTGCCCCTTCTAGTGGACTCTGCTCCCTAGTGGGGCTGGGGAACTTCTATAAATGCACCTCACAGAGGCGAGCCTGTTAGGTCTTCCTTAAGGAGAAGTGGAGGTGTTGGGGGCTCCACTTGAAAGTACCCTTTGCCCAATCAGGTATTTGTGGAGTCACACCTCAGATGCCATAGACTGAGTAAATCAAATGGTGACATCTCATTCTCACTACTTTCAAAAGACTGAAATTTTCTTTAGAGGGCAAATATATAATAATGAAGCAATGAGGTTCTCTCAATGATCTATATTTTTAAAAAATCACTCTAGAATCTGTTTAAAATTAAATCATCAATGCAAATTGCTGAAATAATAAATAAGGGATATTTTTAGTCAGCAGAACTACCCTTAGTTAGTTAGTACCCTTAGAGCTACTAACTACACTTAGTTAGTAGAGATCTACCCTTAACACAGGTCTTCAGTGGAACAAAATAAAAGTAATGGACCACACATACCCATAGCAAAAGTAGTTGAGTTTTTGACATGTGGAAAGGATTTTCACTCCATCCTTTTTTTCATAAGCAGAGGACAGAAGACTTGCACTTGGTTTGATGGATACTTGCTTCATATTGACAAATAAAAGTAGTGTAATTCAGGCACTAAATGAACCTCTGGTTTTGCATGAGATTGCCACCGGGTCAGCAATTAAAGACATGCTGGACAGATGCAAACAAGGAGAAGACTTCACCCTTTCCTAAAATTTTTGAAAATCATGGTAGTGACCAAAGCTGTCATTTCAAACAATCTATTCTCCCATTTTTAAATGGAAAAATCAAAGCAAACCAAGCAAATGATTTCTATAGTCTGAGCAATCTGAGTTCTGGCTAAAGCCATTTTCATTAGCTATTTTGTCTACTTTAGAAAAGGAGGAAGTCAGTTTGTGCCTCTGAACTCAATCTTTCTCATTTGTTCAATAAGAGGATTGAATGAAAGAATTTAAAAAATCCTTCTTGGTGCCTAGATTTGCTAGCTTAGGGAAAACAGGTTTGGAACAGAAGTATGCTTTTACAGAGGAGGAAAAATAACAGAATGACCATGGCATTCGGAAGCTTTATTTCTAGCTGCCGTGCAGTATATCCATGAGGATTCTTCTTCCCTGAATTTCTTCTTATCCTCCTTACTCTGTCTCCTTATTTCTCATCTTTCTTGTTCTATGGTTGAAATTTAATTTTTCATGTACTTACAGAAAATATTAACTGGTCTTGCAACTAACATACTGCAGAGGGGAAATTCTTTCTTATTGAGAAAATGAAATTGTATAGGTAAAATTG